AGCTCACTAGTGCGGGACTCCGAAGCCACATGCCACCAGGGGAAGTCATAAGGAGCCACTGGTGGAATTACCGATCAGTCAATAATATTTCACATATTGGCACTGTACCTCCCATGCATGGCACTACCAGGGATTTCCCCTGTTTCTTTTTCTCTGGGACTCAGAACTCTCAGAACCTCAGAAAGCATAACTGAGGTTTACCTCTTTAAGTTAAAACTTCAAAAAATTACTCATCTTTGAGAAAAATCTATCTGAAATTACACAGTGATTATGAGTGTGAGCTCTGGAGTCAGACTCCATGGGTTTCTACCCTTCTCCTCTACCACTTACTTAACACTGTGCCTCAGTTGCATCCCCTGAAAAAACAGGAATAACAGTAACTATACCTTAAAAGTTGTGATAGGTTAATAAGTTACTCCATGGAAAATAAGTAATTGTGATGAGTTAATAAATTATTCCATGTAAAGCTCTTAGAACAGTATTAGGAACATAATAAATGCTCCACAAATGTTAAAAATTATTATCATTACCTTCTCAGATTGAATACTCTATAACTAAACATTTTCTTGAAAACTCAAGGTCATTGTCGAGACCCGAAGTCACAGGGATGGCACAGTACAGTAAATCCCCTAGGTGCACTGACTGCCCTTTCCGAAGATGGCCCCTGGATTGCTAAGAATGGGAGCTCTTATAAAAGTGCTGTTTATCACTCTCTCTTCAATCTTAACCTGTGTCAGGTTTGCAGCCGTGACTTCCTGATGCTGGTCAATGTGCTAACGCAAGCACCTTGATCTGATTTATTGCCTCTAAAAGCACTGGAACCATTTCTAAGGCAGAAATGGGACTATCTGAGGGGTGGAAGGAGAGACTTCCCTCTGAGGTAAACATACATGTGTCGATGCACAGACTTTTGAGCTGAGGGGTCCTTAAAGCTAGAAGCTGTTTCTCCTTTATTTCTACATCCCCAGCACCCAGCACAATTCCTGGGCCAACACAAAAATTGTTTTTCCATTTGTCCTTAATTGAATATATTTGTATTGTGTGGTTAAGGGCCTTTTTGGATTTTAGTTTTAGTTTTTACCTATATTCCAGATAGTTTACCTATATTCCAGGGGTGATAAAGATAATGCTACTATCCACCCTTGCTTTTTAATGTACGCAAGGCAGTGGAGAATAACCTGGACTGATCTTGTAATCCTTTCCCTACTCTATATGGTTAATACCAAAAGTGAATTTTAGTAACTTAAATAATGAAAATACAAACCAGAGAGTCAAAGATAGAGCATATATTCCCCAACATGAGAGTTTGTTGTAAATAACTGATTGAACTAGACATAAGCACAATTACTGAACATTTACTAAATGTATGGAAATGTATGTAAAATGTATGTAAACATATGTAAAATATTATGAATATTTTCCCTGGCAACCCAAGAATTTACTAAGTAATCAAGAAAGAAGTACTTGTATCAATAAGAAAGAGATTCTGCTCTGCACAAGAACACAGATACCGGGTGGCAGACACGCTGGTATGGGAAGGAACAGTGAACTGCTGCTCACCCACACATCCACAGCCTAGCTAACCCCACCCCATCTCCAACTCGGCTTCCCCACAGGAGACATGTGGGCACTGGGCTGCATGGCTTCTTTCTGTAAGTTGTTTTGCTGTGCAATTTCATTGTTTAAAACTTGACTCAAGGCACACTGTCCTCTTAAAGAAAATCATGCCAGTGGTAGTTGGAAAATACTACACAATATATTATGTGTAAAGCTGTGAACATTTTAAATTATTTTAACCTAATGAAAAGAATTTTAAGTGAATGCAAAACATTGGAATACTATTTTTGATGGTTTTGAACTCCAGCAGACTTTATATCTCGTCTGTTACACAGTTACATCAGAGAAATTATAAGCAGGTATTGGAATTCTAGCTCATTTTAGAATATACATGCTTAACATCTGTCCCTCGAACTTCTTTAGGTAAACAGCACCATCTTTCACTCTTTGGTGCCTGTTTGGAAAACAAGCAATAGGTTATTTGTAGGAGGCAGGTGTTTCCTTGCTAGTAAAATCATTTAGCCTAACCATTTCCTGATTTAACAGACTAGGACACTTCATCAAACAATGACATTTAGTTTTACTACCTATTATTTGTTTGATGTTCAAAGATCTTAAGAGCAGGCAATAGCCACTAGAGATCAATAAAAACCATTAGATAATGTGTGTGTGCTTAAATTAGGGACAGCATTTGATGCTGTTTCTCTTACCTCAAAGACAAGTTAGGACCTCTCATGCTGCTTTCTTATTGGCGTGAGGAAGTAATGTCACTCAGATGGCATTTCCTCCTCCTGAACAGATATTCAGAACTAAGTTTTCTACCAAGAGTTATTGAATGTGCACACCTGTAACACTGGCTAACAAACAAAAAACCTATACAACCCATTTAGCTACTGACTTCCACAGTCCAGGACTATGTCAGATTTATGTCAGCTCTTTGCGCAGTCAAAAAGGATATTCCCTGAGGGGGGTACGAGACATCTAATCTTCAAGGACTAAGATCACAGCAGGTTTAATAAAGAAGAACAGATGTCAATGTAAAAGGGGGAGATTGTGGAATTAATTGTAAAACAAAAAGTGACATGCTGAGCAACATTCTTCCAGTATAAATAATGTTAGAACATATGCAACGGGAACAATTGAGCTTATTTTTCTTTTTAAGATTGCTATTATTTTAAACACTTCGTATTTACATTGAAAACAACTAACACACTTTAACTAGTGACATTATTAAAAAGCTAAAGCCAACTGATACTTTGTGGAAAGGGAAAAGCTGTTAGGATGCTAACACAAAGAATTTAGGTCTGCTCCCTAAGCGAAATAGAACAGGAGTGGGTGGAAGGCTACTGGATAGGGACCAACTGAGCTCTAACGTTCTGTTTATCGGGTGTGTCTGCCAGGCAGAGGGGCTGATCCAGAAACCTTAGTGTCCTTTGAAGCCAAGAAAAGACAGTGGTAGAAGAAAGATTCTCTCTCCAGCTCTGTCTCTGTATCTAACTGTCCTCAGTAGGACTTACAGAAGTTTGGGATAGGAACACATTCTTTTACAATTAGTCAGTGTGTGTCCTTCTCTTTGCTACCAGCCCCTCTCCCTATCTCACAGGTACCCAGATATCATCTCAGGAAGAGGAGTGACTGCAGAGTTCAATGGAGCAGGAGGCTAAGAAGGTGCTCCTTAATGAACAGGAAGCCAGACATCTGCCCAAAGAATGAACAATGGACTAACAAGGACACCCAGAGGATGCCTTGTACAGTGGGGGTAAGGCTTATGATACTGTATGGTCTTCTTTTAGTAAGTCAAATATTTATGAAGCTACATGGCTCAACAGTAAAAAACTAAAAAAAATTTCTTTATTCCAATGAAAGCAGTATTCCCCTCTCTGGTTCAGATATCATTTTGTAGACATGAAATTTTTTTTCTTTTTTTTAAAGGTTTTATTTATTTGACAGAGAGAGAGAGAGCGAGAGCAGGAACACAAGCGGGGGAGTGGGAGAGGGAGAAGCAGGCTCCCTGCTGAGCAAGGAGACCGATGTGGGGCTCGATACCAGGACCCTGGGATCCTGACCTGAGCCAAAGGCAGACACCTAACGACTCAGCCACCCAGGTGCCCCTAGACATGAAATATATTTAAGACCTTGCATTGAGACTGTATTGAACATCAGTAAAACAAAACAAAACAAAAAAACTTTAGCAATAAGAAAATCATAATTTTAAAGGGCATGTATTCAGGTCAATACATGTCAGTAGAAATACTCACTTTTCCAAATGACAGAAATATTCTTCCTAGACATTAAGCTCCTGGAAGGCAGAATCTATGCTAATTCATCCTTAACCCTCTCCCCGATCCCAGCACCTCGTATGATACCTTGCCCAATGAAAGCATTTAATGAATATCTGCTGAGTGACTATATGGATAAGTAAGATGAGATATACAAAGTGTTTTAAGAACGTCGTGCTATGGGGTGCATGGGTGGCTCAGCCAGTTAAGCAACTGACTGTTGATTTCAGTTCAGGTCATGAGCTAGCCCTGCGTCGGCCTCCGCACTTAGCAGAGTCTGCTTGGGACTCTCTTCCCCTCTCCCTCTGCCCATTCCCCCTGCTCTCTCTCTCTCTCTAAAATAAATAAATAAATCTAAAAAAAAAAAAAAGAATGTTATGCCATATAACCTGCTTAATTTTAATTTGTATGTATTTAATTATTGAAGGGATAATGTCTTACTCATTTTCCATTATGTATTTTACAAATGGATTAATTTTGTTAATATTACAACAGTAAATAATTATAAAAGTAACAATAAAATCTTTACTATTTCAACTATTCTTCTACTTTCCATGTCATATAGCAAACAACAAATTCAAAACTTAAGTATAAAAATCATAAACCTATAGAACTCTGCATTTTATTGCCAAAGGTATTAAATTATGTCAATAAACCCCCAGTTATTACTGATAACAGGGATGCCAGCATTTGTAGAATTACTCACTATTCCAAATGACAAGAAGCAATTACTAAAGAAATGTTTAAGTAGTAGACAATTCTTTAATTGTTTTATATTCTTTGGTTAAATATTTAACATTACTACATATATGATACAACAGAATACAAATAGCTCCCATCAGCTGTATCATATTTTTAAACTGGTAGAAAAGACATATAATTTCAAAGTGTTATTATGAGAGGTTAATACCATAATACTCTTCACTCATTAAATATAATATACAGGGCTGTTTTTACATTGATACCATTCATAATCAATGTAAAGAAGCTGTGTATAAACATGAAAAATGAAGCAAAATTTGATCACTGGCTAGCTGAAATAAACTTAAAAAATCAATGATTCTTTAAGGGCTAGAATGCATGGCTTCATAAAAACCAGCCCTCATTCTCAATTGCCTCATTGGCCATTTTAAATGTCTTACAGCGTCCCATAAAACATATTACCTTTTTTTCATAGGTGCGTTTTAAATGACTTTTCTCCATTTGAAACTTATTTTCTTGATCCTGTGAATAATAAATATTGATTTTTATTGTACTTAAAGTTGCTACTAGCGTCAATACAATTTGTAACCTAAGGAAATAAATCAATCTACCCGATGACAAACTTAAAGTTTTGTATATTATTACAAGAGCCCTACCTGTCCAATCTTCTAAACTACAAATAGAAACGTGAGTAGCTTTGTGTGAGGGCAGAACAGAAAACCTTAGTTATCTGAAGATGTTCCTACTCTCAAAAGGGCCTACTTTACAGTGGAAGAGAACCTTTCTGGCCCTTAGGATTAGGAAATTACTTAAAAGTAATCAACTGACTCAATATGGAAATAACACATTTGAAATTATATCATATGTCAGTCTTTGGCAATTCTTGACCATGAGGGAAAAGGAAAGATTTACAAGATGTGAAGGAGAACGAGACAGTTTGAAGACTGGTAGAGAGTAATTTAAAGGGAAGAAATTATTCTAAAATAATAATGTATTTAAATAAGGTTTATTTTTTGAATGAATCAAAAAAGATTATGCAATAAAATTATTGTTCTTTATTCTCTATATCCCATCAGCATCTACTTTTGTTAAAATAAGTAAGATGAAAAATGATACAATGCAACAAAAGAAAAAAATGGCTACTTGTATGCCTGAGGATTTTTCTTAATTGACTCTTATTTCTACTTCTAATCAAGAAAAGGAAAGGTGAGTTTTAGCCACTGCTCTGTATAAAAATACAGGACTCACCCTTAGTTGTTGCTTTCTTTGAAGTTCTGATTCCTGGAGCTGCTGTTTTAATTGACAGATGTTCTCTTCTAGTTCTTTAATCATACCAGATGCCTACAAGAATTTTAAGAATAATGAAAAACAGTACCATCCTAGAACTTCTGGTTGAATAGACTTACTTTTCCCCCTGATTGAAGGTTTAATCAGAATTAAAATCATCTATAAATCTGAATGAAAATTTTTTTTAAAAGTTTAAAAATTAATCTTTTAAAGTCAAAACATAAACTAAATTCTGCACGGTACTTAAAGTTACAAAAATATAATACTTATGTAAAGATAATGGGCTTACAGAAAAGCGTCTAAATTTTAATTTTAAAAGCAAATCCACTGGAATACTTCATTCATGAAATAGCAAGTAATTGACTACCTTAGAATTGCAGCTATAGGATTCTCTTTGTGGAGTATCTGACACAAAAGTGTGTGGGTGCCAGGAAGGGTGTCTATGGGTTCCTGTATGTATGTGTATGTGATGATAGGAAAGCTAAAGCATGACCCAGATTTCAAAATAATAATAACAGTGTACATAGTTACTCTACAATATGCATTATTAACACAACTGATTTCCACTTGAATTTTTGTATGATTTTTTATATGTTAAAAAAATTTGGTACTTAAAAGGGTTAGCTTATAGCAGAATTTAGTTTATTAAGTATTTATATTATGCTCTGTATTAGACATTCAGCAGTTTCAGTATTTTAAATACCAATAAAAATTCTTGAAATTTCAGTTATTTCAAGAATAAAGCAGAAAGAGACTAATTTCAAATGCCAAATAGTTAGCTTCCACATGGCTATCTATGGCTCTATGCTGAGTAAGGTAAGTAACTACTTTGTATGGCTATATCTACCAGCATATAATACCTTAGAAGCTGAAAGAGCATGCTCCTTTTTCAGAAGGCTTATATCAGCATCATATTTGGCTTGTAATAGTTTCATGTTTTGTTCATAATCGTTTACAAGATGATCTTTCTCTTTATGCAGTGTGTTGCGCCTAAAAGCAGTAAGAGAATAAAATATACTTCTAATACATTTAGAATATCTAATAATGAACTTTTTTAGTGAACCAAATTCAAATGCACTATATTTCAATATATCAAGCAAGTATCCACATTTTAATCAACTGTTCTTAAACGTTATGCTTCTTATATTAAATGGGACTTTTAAAATCAACAAATGGCAATATTTATGCTAGAAACGTCCCAAGGTTAAATGCACAGGTGTGATTAATTTTGGTAAATAATTTTTAGAGTTAATATCAGTACTTTACAGCCACATCTGATAGATATCTGACTTCAGACAATACCTTGCCTTTACTTCTTGTAATTCATTACATGTTATCTGGTAACATCTTTCAAGCTCCAATTTTTCTTGCATTAATTTCTGTCTCTGTAAGTTACTGTTCTCTGCTTCTCCAGTCAGCTGCTGGACACGTGACTCCAGCTCCTTGACCACCTGGTTCTGAAAGAATAGGTCATTGTGAGGAAAGTCTCCAACTGATTTTATAACACTTCTGTATCATTAAGTAGCCTGAAGAAAATATATACCCTATTAGAGATAAGAATACAGAAAATAAATGTATCATAAATCATACTGGTAAAAATTATACCAACCTCTAACTCAACAAGAACTTAAAAAAAAAAAAAAAGAATGCTTTCTCCCATAAGAGTAGGGCCATCACGTTTATATGCTTTTAGCTATTCATTCATTCATTCAACAAATATTTACTAAATCTGGTACTATTTCGGGATCTAGGGGCAAGCCAGTAAATAAGAGAGACAAAGTCCTTATCCTCACAAAAGTTACATTCTCTTTATGCAACTATTAATAAATGTATATTTGGCAATGTTCTTTACTCTTCACTTGAAGCTCTAGAAACTTCTTAAAATCATAAAAATAATGTAGTATTTTTAATTAAAAATTTTTATTTTAAAAAATAAGTGATACTTGTATTATCACATTAGTGTATAAAAATATTTTATTACATAGTTGCAGTATTAGTGAATGAAATTTTCATTTGTTTCATATTTTTAGTTACCATTTTATCAAAAGCACTGCATTTTCCAAAGTCTTCAAAAATCATCACATAATTAAATCATTTCCCTATTATATGATGTTTAATTTATTTTGAATTTTTCATCTTTATAAAACTAGATCAATATGTTTATGACTAGGTACTTTATCTAAAATTAGGGTAAGCAGACTTTAGCTGAAGGGACAATTGATTTTCATTTTAACAATTACACTTCCAGTAAGTGTGAGCAAATAGAAAAGGTTAGGATGATGTTCCAATCAATTAGTATCTTTTTATACTCATTCTAAGATAAACATTTAAAATAAAGTTTAAGCATTAAATAATATTATAACCCTAACATTCTTTATTCATTCCATCCTTTCTTCATTATAATATGAATTTAGGTATATAATTTAAATTTTGGAAGCAACAGATTCTGAATTTGAGGAATGAAAATAATTACATCTAATGTAAAAACATGTTCTATAGATATGGTATATAGAAAATACATACAATTCCTAGCTCAGAGTCTGACATATATCAGATGCTCAGATTTCTTCTCCATGGATCCTATTCACTCTGCCTCATTATTAATGATCCCTCTGCTTTGGGGGTTCCTTTTAGAAGATAGTTCAATTTTCCAATACATATTCTAAACTCTCCTTGTTTCTTAAATATCGATTGACTGGAAGAAACAAAGAAAAGAATACATACTTGGCCTTCCAGCTTTAAATGGAGAATAAAAATTATTTTTATTCCCTCTTCTCTTGGAAATTACCCAAAAGAGACAAGATATACTAGAAACAAATGAAACTCTATCTTAATAAACCCTTGGAGAGGAACTTCTATCTCTGCCTATGAAGGAGTAGCTTGCAGCAGATCACACTTGCACTGAAAGTGAAAAACCCAAAAGACATCAAGAAAAAATCAATTTAAAGGCATTAGAGAACTTCCAAGGCAGCTAGGACTTAAGAGGGCCAGAGAAAGAAACCTCAGAGAGATGAGTCAACTCTCTCCATAAGCTGCTTTCACCTTTGAGGCATTCCCCAATCTTGGAGAGTGAGGATGAGGCAAGGCAATGAGAGCAGGGGGTGGCCTAGGCAGACAGGACTTGAGGAACCAAGATCCCTGAGAGAATGGGTGCACATAGGAGGGGGTTCCACTCCAGCAATTTTCTCCTCAAGGAATTTCCCAAATTCCTAACATTTATAGGGCAGATGGCTAAGAAACCAAAAGAAAATACTCTGAAATGCAGACTAGAGTTTTCGGCAGTGTCACTGTACTTAGGAGTGAAAAACTGTAGATTATTCAAGGAGGAAGGCCCTTGGTAACATCAGAGACTTTCACCTCAAACTGTGTAGAAGGCCACACTAGGAGTGGGAGTGAATCAGAGGTAGACCAAGGACTGCAACCCAGCCTTGAGTCACCTCGGTCCCTGAATGGATCAAGGGGAGCTGTCTCCACACCAGACGTCTCTCATAGGTTAGGGTGGCACCTCTTTGGGCAAGATAACATCATCCAGAGCATTTACTATCTTTCATACACAATGTCTAGCATTCAATCAGAAAATACCAGGCACATCAAAAATTAGAATCAAGAGGGAAAAAAAAAACAGAAATCGACATGCAGAATGGTCCAGATACTGAAATTTAAAAATCTATGAGGAAAATTTACATGACTCAAAATATATGAGGAATGTCTGCAAAATGAAATGATGATCAAATAGAAATGTAGGAATACTCCAAGAAAGCATGACCCGTGGCTGGAGATCTTAGAAAATGTCATCAGAACATGGTTATACAAACTAAGTGGGATGCAAATAATCTGTTGCTTGGTTAAACAATAACATATATACAAGTTGTGACCATAGCATCTCTGAACCCAATCTGGCATGAAAGAATAAGCAGGAAGGTCTGGGCTAGCTGAAAAATCACACAAAACCACATTCACAGGAAGCAAATTATGACCGAGGTCAATTCAGAGAAAGAAACAACAGTATGAGAAGACTTACAGCACCTGTAGAATAATAAATGCAACAGAATTCACTCACATAGTAAGTTATTCATTTTATTATCACCCGGCATAGTAAGACAGTTATTCATTTTATTATTTTTTAATTTATTATTATTTCATTTTTATGATGTATTTTTAAGGCATTTTCCTAACACTCATGGTGTCTTACATAAAATAGACCCAAAGTAAGTAAAATAAATTTAAGGGAAAACGTACAGATGTCTATTGAAATACCTTAAGGACAACAATATTTAGGCAAAGTAATCTTTTTAAAACTGAATACAAAGAAGTGAGAGGATAAAAAATAATAGAAGCCTCAAAATGGGATAAAAAGATATTCAGGAAAAAAGATGCTGTTGAATCATTACTTTGCAGGCTGTGACAGACAGTGTAGAGGGGAATTCCAGGTAGGGAACAACAAGATCAAGGAAGAAACAAGTAACTGTATAGTTAATGACAAACAGATTACCTTGTGTGCAAAGAATACCTTCCCACATCGTGAACTCAAAGGTGGCACTCGGAAGATGAGGTTGGAGTTCTTGAATGGGCATGGCTTATAAGCAGAAGTTATAATAGGCATTAGATTAGTAATTAAAGTTCTCGATCATGGGACATGAATGGGACAAACTGCACTTGTGGGGTATGGAACAAGAGGAGACAGGGAGAGCAACTAGCAGGTCACTAGAAGGGTCTTGGAATGAGGCAACAATGGCCTGAACTCAAGTGGTAGCTGTGGAAACAGAAAGGAAGAGAGAAGATCCAAGAAAATTTTTGGAGTAGTAAATAGTATGATTAAGTAAAATACCAAATAAAGGAGATGACAAGTGGCAAGAATTATAAATCTTCCAGGCTCAAAATCTAATATGCCAAGAGAATTCTCTTGCACATTGAATTCTCAGCACATTGAGAATTAAGAAAAAGCTCAGCAAAGAGTATTATTTTGGTAGGAAATAAAGACATGATTTTCAATAAGTTACATATCAGGAAATTATAAAATATCCAATGGGCCTTTGGTTATGCAACTGATAGAATAAGGCATAAGGACTGGAGATACAGATGTTGGAATTTTACATACAAACATTTGAATCCTATAGGAGCTAAAAATTAGAAAGGGTTAGTAACTCAGCAACTATTTAGAGCGGCAAAAAGATTGATATATTTTATCTTATTAATAAATACATTGAAATATGACAAAAAGATGTACAAATCTTAAGTATACATTTTAATAACTGTTTACAAATTGAAAATACCCATGAGCCACTACGAGATGTAAACAATAGCAGCCGTTCTGAAGCCTTATTCGTCATCCTCTCCACAAAGGCAACCACTACTCTTTCATCACAAAAAAATTAACTTTGGCTTTGTTGAGCTTCCTATAAATGGAATCATAGAGTACTCTTTTGGGTCAGGCTTCATCATGCATATTGTATGACTGAGAGATTCATCCATGTCATGGGGTATAGCAGTAATTAAAACTTTTTCATTGCTATATATAGTCCCTTGTATGAATATACATAAAATAATTTATCCATTCTATTGATGGATTATTTTCAGTGTCTGGCTATTAAAAATAATGTTGTTATGAACACTTTCATAAATATTTTATGGTACATATATATGCACTGATTTGTTTTGGCTATATTTCCTATAGTGAATTTGTAAATGATTTGAGTCACAATTGATTTGAAAACTATGCCCATGCAAAACTCTGTAAGTGAATACTTACAACAGCTCTATTCATCAATGCCAAAAAACTGGACATAAACAAGATATCCTTCAATAGATAAATGAATAAACAAACTATGGTACATCCATATAACTGAATGTTATTCATCAATAAAAAGAAATGAGTTTTTAAGCCACAAAAACATGAAGAATCCTTAAATGTACAATTGCTTAGTCAAAGAAACCAGTCTGAAAAGGATACATACTGTATGATTCCAATTATATGACACTGTGAAAAAGACAAAACTAGGCAAACAGTTAAAAAGATCAGTGGTTCCCAGGGATTCTAGAGAGAGGGGCAAGGGATGAATAGAGTAAAGCACAGGTGATTTTTTAGAACAGTGAAAATATGTACGACACTATAATGATGGATACATGAGAAGATGCATTTGTCAAAGCACATGGAGTTTTAAAGCACAAAAAATGAACCCTATATTATGCAAATTTTAAAAATCACTTAGGAATTGGGGGGAATCTGAGGAAGAAATGCAGACTGTGACAAGAGAATCTAGTTATATTACAAATACATGAAAAAACTCATTGAAGGGATGGGGAAAAAGTGATGGCCTAAGCAATTTTAAAATGAGTGGAGTCTGCAAGGCCAAAAGCAAAAAGTAACTGCTTATAAGCACTGTACTCAATGTTGGTTCCCATGGGGTTATGGATTAATAACTCTTATACTGGTATACATGTATACGGGAATGGAACA